TTATATAATATTTAGTTTGACCTCCTGAGGCTGAATTTCAACATTTTTTGAGGCATCTCTTATTTTTCACTTTGCTCATTTGCTGCAAAAAATGGCTTATTTTAAGCATTTCAGACTCTATTTTGTACCATAATCATGGCAAGTACCTTCAAACTATTTGAAGAACACACAACTGAAATTTCACGTGATTTCATGTATAGGATCTTTTGGGTGGATGCACACTTGGACCGCATAGAAAGTTCTGACTTGAATGGCAAACTGCGTCAAATTCTCATCAGCCCCGTATCACACCCGTTTGCCCTCACGCAGGTACCTTTCCATATCTGTCCCTCACCCTCACTTAATCTGTCACTCACCTGCACCTTCATCACCCCTGCTCCACTGACCCGTCCTCTCTTTCACTTATGTCTCTGCATTTATAACCTTAGCATGTTGTTCTCTTCTTTTGCATCTTTCCATTTTCTGACCCTCCTTTTCCTTTCCTCTCCCTTTTTTTTTTTTTACCCCCTTTCTTTGTCCCCAGTTGAAACCGGTATACTCTCCTTTAACTCCTTTTTCCCGAATCTCACAGCAAGACCGTTGGATTTACTGGACGGACTGGCAGACCAAGTCTATTCAGCGAGTAGATAAGCATACAGGTCGTAGTAAGGAAACCGTGCTGGCTAATGTAGAGGGCCTCATGGACATCATAGTGGTGTCACCACAAAGACAGACTGGTAAGATTGATTTGTTGGGACTGAACTGAAGAGCACAACAAGTCTACTTTATTTGTACTCTAATGCGCAACTCACATTTTGAAGGGATTTTGTGATATACCATTTGATTTGTAATTATTATTAAAGCAAGACACTACAGGTGAATAAAGGGTCAAATTTTAACTAATAGATATCACGATACTTCTCCAGTTGATTAATCACAGTGAATTAAATCTTGTATTTTGTATCAGATGTTTCTTAAATATGCAACTGGTGCGTTAGATGATTAATTATGCGGTAATTTGCAAAACACTGGTCTGTTGTATGTTTTATGTGTGATTAAATATTAAGAATGTTGCATATAAACAAGTGTAGTTTTATCATGTGGAATATATGTTTTTTTATTTGGAAATATTTTCAAGATTGTTATTGATACGTGAACATTGAGCACATGTGTGATGAAGAAATGTTGTATCCGTAACATTTGCTTACTGTCTTTCTAGGAACGAATCATTGCGGTGTGAATAATGGGGGCTGCACACACTTGTGTCTTGCGCGGAGTAACAGTTTTGTGTGCGCGTGTCCAGATGAGCCTGACGGCAGACCCTGCTCTACAAGTGAGTTAGTTCAACATGTGCAATTATTGTTAAACTCTGAGATGTTACACAAATGAATATATTCATGATACGACTGTTTACATCTGCCAGATGTTATTTTAGTATTATTCATGCACGATTATTTTGGGGTTTTATTTTTACATTTTTAGTTTTCACTTCAATTATTAAGTTATAATAATTTTTAAGTTTCAGGAATTTTCTAATGTGCTTTTGTCATATGTATTAGTCTTTATTTTATATATTTTTTATTTAGTTTTTGTTTTGGTTTAGTAATTTTAGTACTTCAACTTAAAATTATTTTATTTCAGTTAGTTGTCAAGTCAACATTTCTGAAATTATTTTCTTAAGTTAAAGTTTTTCATGTAACATTTATATTTTATTTGATTTATTTCAGGTTTAATGAACATTTCACAATTTTAATAGTTTTATTTTTATTTAACGAGTACAATGATAATCGTAACTCTGTTAAGCCAGTATGCTGTTTTTTAGAAATATGAATATGAATATGCCTAGGATTTTGATCTATGTAAACACCTTCATTCAGATTATCTATTAAAAAGTGAATATTCATGTATATTTGCATGTCTTTATAATTATTATTAATTATTAAAATTTGCATTAATTGTCATTTATTAGTAATTGTTGTACGCTTTTGTAATTTGTATTAGTTTTGTTATTTATGTTTCAGTTTTAGTGATTTTACAACGTACAATTATTTTATTTCAATTAGTTGTCAAGGCAACATTTCTGGAGTTTTTTTTTCCTTAAGTTTAAGTTTTTCATGTAATATTTATATTTTATTTTATTTCCGATTTTTTTTTTTCAATTAAGAATTCACAAGTATTAATAGTTTCTTTTATTTAATGAGTACAACACTGATTATCATAACCAAATTAAGCCAATATGCTGTTTTCTAGAAATATGAATAGGAATATGCCTGTATTAGTCAGAATTTTGGCCTGTGTAAACATCCTCATTCAAAAAAATTCATTGCAAGTGAATATTTATGTACATTTGCATGTCTTTGTCATCAATTACTAGTAAATTAGCATTAATAGAGTCCGTTATTAGCAATTTTGTCATGTTTATTTATTTATTTGTTATTTCTATTTATTATTTTTTTATTGATTTATTTTAGTAGTTTTGGAACTTAGTCATTTTAGAACTCCAGGATCCAGTTTTTTTTTTTTTAAGTATAGGTTTGTGATGTATATTCATTGCAAAAGACAATACCAATGTATGTTTGCATTTCTTTATTATCAATGATCAATAAATTAGCATAAATGGGGTCAGTTATTAGTATTCCGATTCTGTTTCTGCACTAGTCTCTGGTTACATTCCCACGGCACCGGAGAAGGACTCCAAAGGTACTCAGGCCCCCAAAAAACACCCCACAGAGAAACCTCATCAGGGCCTGTCAGGGGTCAAGTAAGTCAACTGCAGCTATCCAGTCTAAAATAAGGATTTCTTTACGAATCAAGTGAACTATTGTCTGGAAAATCCAATCATGTTCTCCTCACAGCTGTACAGATGCAAGTCTCAATCTAGAGGACTGCATCCAGAACAATGTGATGTCTGCACCTCGGGGTAAATATTTACAACTCTGATTTTAAATTGTTGTATGAGAGTAAATCAAGCATGGATTGACCATTTGCATTTATCTTTATGAAGATGAGAGCCCTCATATCAGCTACGTGATTGGTGGAGCTCTGTCAATACTGGCCATCCTGATACTCATCGCTGCATTCATTATTTACAGGTAAGGTTTAATGAAGCATGAATTAATTCCGTTTCTCAGCTGCTCAAAGTAAGATGAATACTAGGAGTTGTCATTATTTTTTGCTTTCCAGGCACAAAAAATTCAAGTTTGCAGATCCAGGAGTGAGCAACTTGACTTACAGCAACCCTTCATACAGAACTTCAACACAGGAGGTTAAAATAGAGACCGCACAGAAACCTGCAATAAACAACCAGCTGCGATATAAAAAAGAGGTATTGTTTATCAATCTTGCCTTTGAAGATTTCACAAAAGAATCATTTAGATGAATGTAATGTGCTGTTGATGGCATAATTGTTCTCAACAAGTTAAACTGGTTTTCTATTTTTCGTGAGCAGTACTTTACAGTCTCTCAGTCCACACTCATCTTTTTTTCTTCACAACAGCTCAATCATCCTTACAACTCCCTTTCTCCTTTCATCTTTTGACATCCCCTCTTTTATTTTCATCAGAATGGCAAACAAGGTAGTTCAACAAATTGGGAAAATATTGCTTCCCATATTTAAAGGCAGCCGTGTGATTGTGACCAACCGCTTGATCTCAAATCCAGCATCCCATCATTGTCTTCTTGCATGTGATCAGATTTGTGCATGAGAGTGCAAAAAAAATAACATTTATAGTTATTACAATTAGAGGTCAACCGATGTATCGGTTTTGCCGATTAATCGGCACCGATAGTTGATTGCTGGAACTATCGGTTATCGACAAAAATCCATGCCGATAGTTTTCCGGGTTGCGTCCATTGCTGGAACGGCTGAGAAGGGTCTGCTGTCATTACACAGTGCGAGAGCGGCCTCTAGTGGTTGAAATCACTGACAGCACGTGCTATTTGTTTAGACACGTGATACTGCACGCTGAACAGAGCGGGAAACTTCAGACGCGGATTTAAATGCAGCCGACAGAAAATCCTGCCGCGCCACAGAGCGCCATTCACATAGTTTTCCTTTAAATTACATTATATTGGTCCCGAATCGTTGTTAATGTACATAATGAATTGTGTATTGTGCATTTTCAGCAAAACGTTTGTCTTTCTGTGGCTCTAGTAAAGTCTATGCTTCATTTATAGAGCTATAATATAGGTCGCGCTTTCTCTTTCCGTTTGCTCCGTTTTTTAAACACCGAACTTCAAATTCATCTATGCCAAATTGTTCATTCTTGAAGTAAACTTGTGTCCGTTTGGTGATTAAATAAACTGTTTTAGACCGCTGCTCGAGTTGAACGCGACGCGTTTGGAGTGTGTGTGATACCGGTGAGTTCTCCTAGACTGAGCGCTGCGCTTTTATTTTGATTAGATAATCATCAAGTGTTCAAGAATAGAAGCAGTTAAAGTGTGAGAGTATACATACAATATCCATATGTATATAATTTTAATGCTATAGCCTTTGTGTATATATTTAAAGATGTGCGACAGTTGAAATTAAATGGTAACACTTTAAAATAAGAATCCATTTGTAGCATTAAGATTAGTGAAAGCGGTGTAAGTATTGTTCCTTGTTAGAGTGCGCTAATTTCAACATTTACTATTACTATTATTATTTTATTTTTTTACTACTACTACTACTATGGTTCAGTACTGTTTTTGTTAATAAAGCACTATTTTAGTTTTTGTTCAGTATCAATTTTAAAACTATCGGTTAATTAATCGGTATCGGCCAGTATGTACAAGCAGAACAGGACTGTAAAATAAAGTATTATTGTTATAGTCATCGTCCTTGGTGTTAACAGGCCTTTAGTTCTGGTTCTCTAATTTAATTTTTTGTTATTTATTATTATTTTTCAAAGCAAACATCAAGGTTAGAGTGAGGAAATTACAAATGGTTAAAGTAAATAGGGATAATGTTTAGGGGGTACATGTATGCATTTATAAAAGCACAGAATATTCCTTTGGTTATCAAACAACTGTTCATTGAACTATCCATTTATCAAGTTCCTGATGATATTCACCTGGTCATAGTTATCACGTCCATGGAAGAATGGCTCCTTCCTAAAGATCATACTGGCCAGCATACAACCAAGACTGTAGTCATACATCTGGAATGACAGAATAAAAGTGATTTGTTTCAGATTTCCAAAAGCTTTTTGCGATTTGTTTTGCCAAGTTCAGCAATCAAAATCTCAAAGGGTAAATCCTCAAAAGCTAAAGAGTTTTAAAGGGTGTAAAGACTTTTCAAGTGGCTGACTAGACATTTTAATCTAAAATGTTAAAACAACTCAAGCTACATTTTATAAAAATGTATTTTCATTTGGACATCTGTATATGAATAGCTGTTAGGTCTGGCCTGGTAATCTATCAGTAGTTCTGGTCCTTTAAAGTAGCGAGAGGCGACTCTGATGTTGTACTCCTGTCCTGGGTGATAGAATTCAGCCAGTCCCCAGTCAATGAGACGCAACTGAAACATGACAGCATTCAACAGTCATTTGACATCGGCCTGTTTGTCTATCTGTATACATAATGCTAATGAGAAGTATGCATGCTGCAAACGTCAGTGGCTTAATGAAACTTTAAACCTCCAACCTCCAAGGCTGTCTTATGCCAACATACAAATGTTCCTTTCCTAGAACTATGCAGCATTATTTTATACTTCCAACATACTTTCATCTCAAAAATCAATGTTGTTGTTTCTTATGTGAATAGACTGATTACCTTTCTGTGCTCATGATCAGTCATGATGTTGTGTGGTTTGACATCTCTGTGCATAATACCCATACTGTGACAGAAATCCAAAGCCTAGAGACATACGAAACATGAGATCATATCAAAACCTCTACAGCTATTACAGGAATCAAAAGGATCGACAATACAGAACTTCTAATCTGATGTACGTATCTAATGCCCTAGACTGAGTTTGATTTCCTGCATATTTCAAAATGTAAAATGCTAATTACAGTATGGGGGAAAGACAAGTAAATAACCTCATTCCGTTTTCCCTTTTTTACACAAATTGTAATGTTGAATTCAACCTCTAACCAAAATGTTCTTACTAAACTGTAAGAAAGAAATGCCAAACAAACATTTCATTACTTATTTAATTAATGGGAAATATGCATTTATAAATAAGCTAGTCTCTGGTGAACCTTTTTTAAAAGAGGTACTACAATTCTCACCTTCAGAATCTCATACATGTAGAAGCGAATGTCATAGTCTGTCAGTGTCTGATACAGTTGCTGATGAAAACAAAGCAAAGATGGAACTAATTACATAACAGGTTTTTGAGATTATTTGAGATTAAGATTAAGGTTTTTACCTTAAAGTCTGTGTTGTTCACATGTTCAAAAACTAAGGCAGGTGTTCTGGACTGCAATGTGTAAAAAAAATAAAAATTTCTTCGGTATACAATACACTTAAGTGCTAAAATCTGTTTTTACAGTATAATTTGATTGTTATTTTTGTATTACAAATATCAGAAACCGCAAGGGTTCTGAATACTGACCACTGGGTCTTTGACGATAATTAAGCGGTATCGGCCAGTGTGGTCCAACCTAGCTATCGGTATCGGCAAAATCCACTATCGGTCAACCTCTAATTACAATTTAAGGTATACATTGTTATAGGCTAGTTTCTTAGTGTATTGTGCCTGAGGTAGCATGAATTGTGAAATGCAGTGATTGCAGTGTTCATGTTTTTTTACTCTTACGCCATGAAAATAAATGCTGTGTTTAAAAATCTACATGAAGTCCCCCCAAACAGTAAATACATTACATTATATAAGTAAAATGGGTTGTGACTGCCGTTTATTGTTTACTTGATGATTGTAATTCTAATTCCTTACATCACAGTAACTGTGTTAGAATATATAGAATATTTACTATATACTGTATATATATGAATTACTATACTAATAACATATACTTGTAAAAAAAGAAGTGTGCTTAATTGTATAGAATGTGCATGTGAACTTGATTACAATTTTAACTGTCAAGTTGTTCGATATTACATTTACAGTTAATCTATTTTCAATGTACTAAATTGCAACTTCTTTAGAGTATATTTACGATAAATGCTTGTACGTACATCCAGCAATAGACTTTAAAATGTTTTAAAGACAATAGAAGTAATCCAAGATGTAGATGAGTTTGTTTCTTCATCAGATTTGGAGAATGTAGCATTGCATCAGTTGCTCAGCAATGGATGCTCTGCAGTGAATGGGTGCCGTCAGAATGAGAGTCCAAACAGCTGAGAAAAACATCACAATAATCAACAGAAACAAATCCATCAAGATGTTTTAATTTTAAACCGTTGCTTCTGGCCAAAATACCAGTCCATAATCCATAATAACGCTTCCTCCAGTGAAAAACTCCATTCCCTGTTGTCCAAAATCCACCCACATATTTGTTTTTGAAATGTTTTGCACTGTTTTGGCTTGTAAAAGGTGCTTGTTCTCTAATGATTCAGATGAATCAACTTTCACTGGAGAAAGCAGTATTATGGATAATGGTTTTTATTTTTTTTTGCAAGAAGCAATGGTTTAAAGTCTTAATGATGAATTTGTTTCTTACAGTTTTTCTCTTCACAAGATGTTAACTGGTGGACTGGAGTGGTGTGGATTACTTGTGGATTATTGTGATGTTTTTATCAGCTGTTTGGACTCTCATTCTGACGGCACCCATTCACTGCAGAGCATCCATTGCTGAGACACTGATGCAATGCTACATTTCTCC